ACAATGGAAGAATGTTGATCACTGCTTCTGCGACTTATGCCCGGCAGCTGAAACAGTGGAACACTCAATCATGAGATGTGCACCGGCTCACTACATTTGGAACAAGCTCAACGTCTTACCACAGGCCACAAATTCCTGCACGTTGCCGTAGTTTATGAATGCCTTGCAAGGCATAGACCACCATTGGCATGTGCTCCTTGCTGCTTGTGCAGTACAACTCTGGAAGATCCGCAATGCCAGAGTCTTCGAGTGCGTTTACGTTTCGGATGCTGCTTCTTGCCATGCTACTGCTGAAATGGTTCAGCTGTGGTGCTACAGAGCAAACAATGATGCCTTGAAGAACTTCCTCCTATCCAAGTCTGAGCTCCTCAAGGCTGCCGCATAGTCTGCATCTTGCTATCAGTGTTGCTTCTTTTGCCTTGTTCTTTTAGGCTGGTTATAATGGGAGTATCATAGGTAGTATCATGCATGATAATTAAGCAATTTTGATGAGGTGGCATAGAATTAAATGAAGAAAGGGAGCCTTGAGTATCATATCATGATATCGTTATCATATTAAATGATGTGCTACTTTGTGTCATGCATGACAATAAATATAGTCCTATATGATACCATGCATTAGGAATATAGTATCATATGCATGATACTAGTATATGATACTCCCCGTTACAACCAACCTTAGTTTTCTGTTTCGCTAGGGGGGCTTACCCCTAGCCACACCAAGTCGTTACAACCAGCCTTAGTTTTCTGTTTCGCTAGGGGGGCTACCCCTAGCCACACTAAGTGTACTCAAATAATTCTCTCCGACTTTGGTCAAGTTTTGAAATATAAGGTAGACTGCGGCCTGCCTTTTTATCCCAAAAAAGAAAATCCTGGTCCGAAGCGAAGGGTCGTGGTCGTGGTCGTGCTCCCACCTCCCGTGGAAACTCCTGCGATGTTGATTTGATTCTAAACTGGCCCCAGCGCGACTAAGAATTAAGCAGGTAGGTGTGACCGTCACCGGTGCCGGCACGCCCAGTGCGACCAAGATGAGATCCTCGTCGTCGCTTGATGGAGCCGCAGATACAAACTCGTCAGCGCGATCGCCGTCGTCCAGTGGAAGGCAAGAGCGTGTGGTGGGTTTCGACGACCGAAGCAGACACGTCATCAATGCATGCATCTGGTAGTGCCAAGGTCTTTCTCTGCTTGGCGTGTGAGTCATTAGTCACCGGACGATGGCGAACCTCCCCACCGATCTTTCTTCAACCTGATTGTTACGACGAGGCGCTGGTCCAATATTTTGACACAGCCTAGGTGACGGAGGAGTAGGTAAAAGACTTGTCGGTCTGGTCAATGAAACAAAGCGGAGCTCGTGCTCCCAGGGACATACCTGATTTTTGACAGAGGTTCGAGCTTTGCTGACCACGCTTGCTCCTCATTAGGCAGAGGCCTGCCTGTCAACGAAATCGAGTGTTTGCTGCTTTCTTCGCGATCAGAAGAATTGACAGAGGGTAGTTGCAGTGAGGCGTGGATGCAACGTTTTCCAGAATGTGTGCTGTAGCAATTGATTAACGGAAAAGCTAACTTCCAGTCGACTGTATTTTAGTAACAAGTGCGTACGATTCGCTAACCCTCCGATTTTTATATCAATGGCTGCATGCGCTCGCATCCTTTCTTCTAATCACACGCATGTCGCTTTCTCTTAATCAAGAACTCAGCCAAAACATACCCACGCATGCAAGGTCGCTTTGAGGCACTTACATGAATGCATGCATGCAAAACAAAAATGATGATGTCATCAAATATTCTTTCCAATGCAAAAATTTAAATTGATTTGTAGCCCAAACCGTAGGTCTGATTGAAAAATCGTTTTCACATATATGATTCGTCGCGACCAGACCTTCGAAACTAGATCCCATATTGATATGTTTCGATGACTTTTTTTTCAGGTCCAAAGTTACCACGTGTATGCTACGTAAGTTATCACACTTGTGGTATATGAGTTACCATTCTTATTTCTATACAAATTACCAGGGCATAAAAATGGTAACCCAACTTTTCTCTCCACGTGCAAATGAACTATAGGACAAAAAACATCCTGGTAACTTTTGTTATGTTACGCTCCAAATTCAAGTATAAAGAGAAAGACTAACTTCCGACGGGTGAGCGGGCGAGGCCCGTCGCCGGCCGGTAGGCTTGGGCCAAAGCAGTACGGATCAGTATTGACCTAGGTCACCTGTGTTATATATACCTCTTGTAAGCCGTCACACGGGATAGTTGATCAGTTATAAATCCCCGGCATTTGTAATCTCCCCCGAAATAGTGAAGTTTGGCTGGCTGACGCCCGTGGTTTTTTCCCTTCGTGTTGGACAGGTTTTCCACGTTAAAATCTCGTGTCCCTTGCTTGTTTTCGTTCTTCATCGTGTTTGATTGTGTGTCGTATCTCTAACAACTTTTGACCCGGGAAAAAAAATGTTGACAAATATACCACTTGAAAACTTTTGTGTAAGTAACATGTTAATACATCCACATCAGAGTTGATAACCCAGGTTCAAACATCGTGGCAACTTTTGACCTCAGGAAAGTTGTTTAAAAACATATCTCCGACAATTTCTGTGTCAACAGCATCGCAATACACACACATCATAGCTGAGAACTCATGTACAAACGCCGCGGTAACTTTTGATCCAATAAAAAAGTTGTTCAAACATATATTCCGGTAAATTCTGTGTAAATATTATGGTAATATACGCACAACAGAGCTGATAACTCATGTACAAACACCACGTAACTTTTGACCCAGAGAAAAAAGTTACTAAAAACTATCCTGGTAATTTATGTGTAAATGTCATGGTAATACACACCATAGAGCTGATAACTTATGTACAAAACACCACGGCAACTTTGCCCGGGGGTGTTGAAAATATATCCCGGCAACTTTGATGTGTAATAACATGGTAATTGTGCACTGCAAACTTGGTAGCTTAGTTACAAACACCTCGGTAACTTTATTTGGGGCAAAATACGTTATTGAAAACATACCGCCAGTAAGTTCTGTGTAAATATCATGGTAATATGCACACTGCAGACATGATAACTTAGGTACAAACATCACGATAACTTATTTCGGTGAAAAAGTTGCTAAAAACAGACTCCGGTAACTCCCTGTGTAAATAGCATGGTAATACACACTCTGCACCATGGGCAATTTTTATGTCAAGAAAAAAATTGTTGAAAGCATAATGATAATTACTATGCAAACAACATGGTAATATACACATCGTAGACATGGTAACTTACTTACCTAAGGCATGCTATCTTTTGGCACGAACAAAGTCGTTAGAACATACCAACATAGGATCTAGTTTGAAGGTATCATCGCGATGAAATTTTTATGTGAAAACAATTTTTTAATCGGACTCACGTTGGAGCTACAAAATATTTTGAAGTTTCGAAATAGATACAATATAGGATGGCATTATCGTTTTGTTCCCTAGTGCATGCATGCGTGCATGTGGAAAGAAAGGTTGGAAGACCATCTTTCACAATTTCTATGAAAACATGTTGGTAATTTATGTGTCATGAATTTGATAACTTACGTAGTCAGGTTTGGTAACTTTTTACCCCTAAAAAATAGTTGGAACATACCAACATGGTATCTAGTTTTGAAGATCTCGTCGCCGTGAATCTTTTATGTGAAAACAGTTTTTTATCAGAGCGATGGTTTGAGTTACAAAATATTTAAAATTTTGAAATAGGGAGAATATAGGATGACATCAGCATCCTTTGTGATCTGGTGTATGCATACATGTGCATGTGAGAAGAAAGGTTAGAATACCATTTTTTGCATGCCCGTATTTTTACCAAAAGAGCTTGGTAACTTATGTATCACAGACTTGATAACTTACGTAGTACATGCCTGGTAACTTCTGACCTGGAAAAAAAGTTATCGAAACATATCGACATGAGATCTAGTTTTAAAAATCTCGTCGCGACGAATCTTTTATGTGAAGACAATTTTTCAATTTGATGGACAGTTTGAGCTACAAAACATTTTAAGTTTTCAATTTTAAAAAGAATCTAAGCTGACATCATCATTTTGTCTTATGTGCATGCATGCATCTTTTGAAGAGATAGGATTTGCTCCACCTTAATTTTTCCATTAAAATAATACAAGATTAGCAAATAAAAGGAAGTAATCTGGAGATTTAGCGTCTAATGGAGAATTAGCTAGCATGATTAGCAACTGAAGAAAGGAAGAAAGCATCGTTCGGATCTGTTGCAATATTCCGGTCGTTCGGAAGTTAGCAAAGTCCATTGATTAATGCTGACTGCACGTTTCTACACCTTGTAAAAAAGGAGTAATATCATCTCTCCGAATCCCAGCCAAAAAAAGTTGCCGCGGAACACAAATGGGGCTTGCCCTTATCAACAAACGACGACAACAACAATATAGTCTTTCAATTCCAAATAAGTTGAAGTAGGCTAGAGTTGAAATCCATAAGATCTCAAAATCAAAGCCATGGTTCTAGCATATGAATAGCGAACTTCCACGCACCCCTGTCCATGGCTAATTCTTTGATGATATTTTTGGTCCTTCGGATCCCTCTTTACGAATCTAAAATCAAGAACAAGAACAGGCCTCTTAACCGGATCTAAAATCAAGAACCAGAAGAGTACAAGCCCACAGCTGGGAATTCATCAACAATAACGTAATTCAAAGGGCCAGACAAAACTTGCACACACTTTCTCCATTACGTTACATTTCCTTTCTTTGTACATTGTCACCTAGTTGTACAACCCAAGACAACACACGCTCGCTAACACTCCTCTCCACATGCTAAAAAAAAAAGACAAGGAATACATAATCACACAAAGAACCAAAGCCAGGAAACTCCCCAACACCAGGGAATCGTTTGCTTATATACTATACACAAACCTACACAAACAAACGGGACCCCCCAAAAATCTCACTCCCCTACCAAACAAAATGTCCATATAAAACAGAAGAATGTTACAACTCATTGGTTAGCGCTGTCAATCGCCGTGCCGGACCTTGCCTGCGAAATCCGGTTCGCGTAGATGGTCACCAAGCGCAGCTGCGTGCTGCTCAGCCCTTCCAGGTACGGGACAAACGCTTTCCCGAGCATGATGTAGATGTCCACCAAGCAGAATACAACACTCTAAAAAATGGGTAGGTAGTGTCAGTTATGAATTCATGCACAAGAAAAATTCATTCCAAGCACATGCAATTCCCATGGCACTCAGCAACTGCAGTCTGCATCTACTGGCAGTTTTATACTAATCATAAAAATAGAAAGGAATTCCACCATGATAATATCTGCACTAGATTAGTACCCACCTTTCGAACATCTGGACTTTGGTTACTAAAAGCATCAAACAGTGCTGGCAAAAATGTAGGCAGTTGATCCATCAATTCCTCCTGGGAAAGGTGCGCGACGAGCTGCAGAGATTATCACAAGAAAGTTAACAGTCAAAACTGGTTGCTCAAGATATTAGATATGTTTGTTCCTAATAGGCCAGAACTACTCTACAACAAAACGAAGAATTTAAGTAGATTTTCACACATGATGCATATATAATGAGAAATGCAAACGCACTACAGCTGCCTGCCTAGGGTAGCAAGGGTCTATTGTCTTTTAGAACACTGTATATGATAATACCTTTGTCAAACAGTTGATACACACAACGAGTATCTTTTCATCATCACTGACCAAAAGAGGTACTACAACCTGCAGTACAACCAATGACCATGAGAAGTAAAGTTAAATATACCAAGCAGAAACAAAAGTAGTAACAGTGATGCATAAAGAGAAATGATTTGTGCGTACAGCAAGACATCTGAAAGGATCATATTTTGCCAACAAAACATTTATGCATCGGTTCGCTTCATTTGAAATCTGCATGCCCAAAAAGAATATTAAGTTCCTAAAACACCAAAGCTGAACAAAGAACAGATCTAATGGTATTATAGTGAGGAAAATAAAGGCAGGTATACCTTTGCCACCACATCTTTCGTCACATGCAGAAGTTTTTCAAGAACAATCTCAATAGATTCTTCCATAGCGTCTTTCTGAGAGCAAAATGAGCATTATTACTATCAAAAAATGAAGCGGCAATTAATTAAACTAATCTTAATGTGCATAGGCATGGATAGTGGACCTGATTGTTGAGCATCTCAGCAATTAAAGACAAAGCAATCTCCCTAGTAGATGGATCGGAGTCACCCAGCACGTCAAGTACGGTCGTTAATATTTGATTGAAATACTGTTGGAAAATTGAAAGCTGGAATTAGAATGGAAATAGTTTGAAACCTCTCGGCTCTAGCTTAGTATATATTCCATTTTAACTTTACACCTCTGGTAACACAGCTGGTAACGAAATAATGATTTCACATATTTATGCAACGAAAAGAGGAAAATATACAAGAAAAGGTAACATAACATGCTGCTGTGGCATTTGCATATGCAAACCTGCAAATGCCGCTGAGAATTAAAATAAGTTGAAATACAACCCTGTTTTTCAAATACCCATTATTCTTTTGCTGAGAAATAGAAAAAATAAACCGAACTATTCTAAAATTAAGCACTTCGGTTTCCCCTAGTAACTGTGGGGTTAACATAAGGTACATTATGTAAGGAAATCAGGTTGCAAACCTTTGACCAAATGGAGCTGTCATTACCAAGCGAAGCCTTAATCAAGTGTTGTAATGCTTCGTGTTTTTCCAAACTTGATATTTCTGTATCGGTGCTTATCTACAAAGTGAGAAAAATAAATTAAAGAACTTCACAAAGATTTAGAAAAGAAAAAAAAACAGCAGTACACACAATCAAGTAAAAGGATTTTTCATCAGTACCTGATGAAGAAGTTGTGGTATGCTCAAGCCATTGTCAGCATGTATGCTGGTCTTTATAGAACTAAGGTTTACAACCATATCTGTCTCTTGAACATCCTTTCCTGTAGTTGAACCAACGGCATTATGCCCATCAGGGCTGTGCAGTTGGCTGAAATCAAAGCGCGGAGTGCTCATAGCGGTTTCACCATCTAAGGAAGCATCGGTTTTTTCAGGGTAGTTTGTCCAAGAACGATTATCTTCCACAGCTGAGCTAATATTATTCTTTGATTCTCTACTTCTATTTAAAAATACTTCAGTTCCTGAGGACGGTTCCGGGCTTTGATTAGTACCGGCACTCATATCCGAAGTTGTTCGGGCCATAGAGACATTATGTAATGTTGGTTCTTGCACTGTAGTGGTCTTCTTCCCCACTTCAGCGTCAAGGGAACTAGAAGAATACCGCCCAAAAGGATAGCTCTTCTTCAATGTCTGTGCATAACCATCTTCGGAAGAAGTTCCAAAATCTGCCTGGTCATAAGATTTAGGGCGTGGCCGTTCTTTCTTGCTCTGCAAGTAGTTCACCAGATCAACCTCAATACGAGGTGTTTTTTGCTTCAGGGCACGCCTCAATAGGTTTTGCTCTTCAACTGATAAACTTAGAATAAAATTTAACACTGCCGTAGAGTCAAACTGAGAATACACAGATATGATACCAGAAATAGATGCCTCCTTCAGTTTTGCATTCTTTTCATTCACTAAAGGTGCCAATTTTGAAAGCCATAGCTTAAGGAAGCCGCTGTTACTATAACCTTCAGAATCTACCGTGTACTTACTGAACGATCTGTTTGCAAATTCAATAACAGCCAGCTTTGCCTTTGGCGACCTCTGTTCATCTAGTGAGCGTACTAGGGCAGGTAGCAACATATCGATAGCATATAATCGACCAACAATCTCCAAAGTCAAAGAACATGGTTTTTTTACCAACTCTTTTGGATCAATAAGGCGGGAAAAGACATGTGGCAAAATTCTTTCGACATAACTCTCAAATGGCTTCTTGCAAGCAGGAATAATCTCTGCAAGCGTAGAAAAAGCAGCTTGTGCAACCTTATGATGAGGATCATCCAGATGGCGGAAAAATAGCTTCATGACCTTTTCAAAATTCTGAATAATTTCTTGAGTACCTCTCTGACCTTGTTGCACTACATTCCGAATAAAATCAAAAGCAGAGACTCTTGCTACCCAGTCAGAACTAGGATTGAGACCCTCAGAAAGTGCATCATGTAGAGTAGCCAGAGTATCTGTATATCTAGATACATCATTAGAAGGTACTTGACTATCATCAAACCTGTCACGGCTACTTGCAGAAGGCCTTGACATTACTTGTTTTCTTAGAAGAGGTCTCTGGAAATTCGGGACATTGTTATTATGTGAATCTCTATGAGCAGCAGCATCCCTATAAGGCATATCAACATAGTTTTTTTCTGTGTGCATTTGAGGAAACCGCCTGGTTGACCGCAGATCATTACTCTCATCCATGTGGCCTCCATCTTGAAGCCTCTCTGAAGATCTTCTTACATAAGGCAGTGATAAGCCTGTCATGGACTCGGATGATAGATTACTCAAATATGGTGACCTCGACCGCTCTTTGGTGGCCAACTGTGTTGTCATTGTATCCAATGCGCGAGAACCTCCATTTCGTGTACTAGAACTTTTGATGCTAGGAATGGTTGAATCCAAGAACGCTGAGCTCTGCAGAGACAGATGATTTGAAGCTGGTGCTGCAAGAGGAACAGGAGGATCACGAGATGATGGAGCATCAACCCCTGCACTAGGAGTAAAAAATAATAAGAAACTAGAATTCTAACGATCAGTAGAGAAAGTAGAAATGATAATTTTGTCAGGTGATTTCTAAGGAATACACTATAAAAAGCATTCAAATTCTTCAAAGAAAGGTATATGCGGATTAAAGAATACCAAGGTCCAAGCTTGTAGAGCGTGCAACTGAGAAATTTTGCCTATCTGATATGCTAACACCTTTCAGCAAACTTTCAATAGCAGAAACCTTTTCTTTGCTTGAACTGAGCACACTTTCTAGGCTTCTATCAGAAACTCTGCTGGTTGTCTTTGACTGTGATAAACGAGGATGGTTTGATGGCAGAGATGAATCTGAAGAAATAGCTGCACTCTTGTCCATTGCAACAATAGCTGAAGTGCCATATCCAGGCATATGAGTGCCACTTGCATGAGATGAAGTGCGAGAAGGCTGCAGAACCTTCTCACGAAGTGAGGGAGAAGCATAACGTTTGTGCACACCATCTTCATCATTTATTGTCTGCAACAGTTGCCAATTGTACATTAGAATTTAGGCTGTGTTACAGCTACAGAAAATGTAAGATCCAAAGAAACACAAAGAGAAAAGCAGCATGCCGTACCCTCTGTATAGCAGGATCAAATTGCATAAAAAGACGGCGAGAGCGCTCAGGCCATGTCTTCGTGAACATTCTGTAGCAAGTTCTTGCAGTTGAACGGACCTAGTTGCAGAAATGGCATGGAACACAAAAATAATCAGAATGAATGTGGACAGAACCGCAATGGTCCCAGCATACCAGCAGGCAGCGGCAGAGATCAGAGATGAGATAACTCAAGAACCTTTTGGTTTTAACAATTATGTCCATTGATAATATAGCGCATGAACTCAGAATATGGACTTGTCATTTGCTACATTATTGTCTTCTAAACTCTTTTGGGTGGCATGCAAGGGTAAGAGGAGAAAGAAGGCACCGGTTCAGTATGAAGTAGAATCCCTCATAATTTTATTGGTTTCCCAGAAACAGATTGTTTATTACTCTATACACATTATGAACAGAAAGCAACCTATATTCTTCATTATCATGCCAAACAAGCTACCGTATTTCCAAATGGATACACTGTTTCATGTGTATATCTGCAAACAGAATGCAAACCAGCACTACATAGATTATGTCTGGGTAATGTCATATTGATGCCTCTCCAGTCATGTAGACAGCCAGTTGGGGATAGGTTAAAATGTAAGGGCTGAGTTAGGGTCCTGGTGGGTATCATTGCAGCATTGCTGGCTTGCTGCTTGAGCAGCAAGTTTTGTTGTTTCACTCTCGTGTGCTGCAAATAATTAACATTCCACTTGGTTTGATTTCAACAGAATGGAACTATGACTGGACTCTTCGATTCGACAAAGTACAAACACTAGCATACCACACAGAGAGAAGTTCTTGTGTGTCTGATAGTGCGACATATTGAATAATTTATTTAACTACCTAATTTGAAATGAAAATGAACACACTATATGCACCATAGGTCAGCGAACAGATCATACCTCACTCATAGCATCTGCTACACAGCACTTTATTAGATCTTCATATAAATCAGCTGATCGTTGTATTTCCGGGGCATCAGCCCAATATTCCAATATTAGAAGCGCGTATTCGCAGCACCTGTACAGTAAAATGTAAGCTTGAATAGCTTGAAGAAACATGTACACTGGACGGTGTGAACATGCATACCTAGCACGGAGAATTGCGCTTCGGTCATTCTTGGCAGTGTCAGCTACACGAGGAAGAATTCGTGCAACCTTGCAGTTTCGCAGGATCTGCAAGATGTCCCATATCAGCAAAGAGACTAAAAAATGGCATCCATGAAGTGCAAATATATTGAAATAAAACTTCCTCACAGTTTTTATGCAAGTGTCTGAAGATTCAGCGATGACAAGCACAGTTATGACAACCAGCTTAAAAAGCATCTGAAAATTTCACAAATATTTTAGATTTATTAAAACAATATAGCAAAACAGAAGGAAAAAAACTGTTTGCATCATTTACCGGAATAAATTGTTCAGCACATGGCTCAAAGTCACCAAGGAGTTCTTTGGACAGCACATTAAGTAAATGGCATGCCTGGGCATAAAAAACATGACACGAAGTAAGTTTTCAATTTGAGCACATTCATCTGATCAAGTATTCAACTCGTTTTACAGCAAGAAAATAGAGGGAAAGACAAGCGTTGGAGATAATCAATTTGATACTTACCAAAATAGGTTTCTTGATAAAAGATGCTTATCAAAAGAAGATAAATGGGTGGATACCTGTTTTACAATGGTAGACCGTCGATCAGCTAGCTGAGTAGACAATGGAGGAATCAGCTGCTTCAAGAGTGTCAGAAACGATGGGTAATCAATAGCTCCTGGAGAAACATAAATAGAACATTTTAAAGCTAAGCATACAACATCAAATTATCAAGGAGTAATTTATCAATATACTCCCTCCTTCCCAAAATATAAGGCACGGTTTGACTTTTCTGGTCTTCGTTGCACAACTTTGACTATATTTTTTATGTATTATATGTCTATAAAATTATTATACATACATATGAAATAAAATTGCTTTTCAAGAAAAATACAGCGATGCCATTTATACATGTTCAATCCATATACTTTGATATATATTAGTGGTCAAAGTTGTGCATCAAAGACCGTAAAAAGTCAACCGCGCCTTATATTTTGGGAAGGAGGGAGTAAATGCTAAGAATGTTGACGGACTAATTCTCAAATAACCCCATATTATATTATGTGTAACTGGACTGTGATAATCTTTTCCCTTTTGAGTCAAATGATGAAGGCCTTGCAAAACATTAAGGTATGTCACCAAAACTGCAGGTTGCACCATTGCTCTTTTCTTTGAGCCAATATTACTAGACAATAGGATGTTTATAATAAAAGATGTTCATTTTTATAAAAGATGGACCTTCTGTTTATTTTACTTCACTGCATACTTCAAAAGCTCTCTTGTCGGCAAATAAAGGGGAAATGTTTTCCTAGTCATCAGTCCTAGTAATGAGGGTCCCTTTCTGGTTAGACAAAATATTACTCCCTCCGTTCCAAAATAGATGACTCAACTTTGTACTAACTTTAGTACAAAGTTGAGTCATCTATTTTGGAACGGAGGGGGTAGTTGGCTGTGCAACCAAAGACGTACTGCAAAATCTTTGCTACAGATTTTTTTTTCTTTGGTAATGGCTACAGAGGTAATTAACGCCGAGCATAATTGCATAAACCTTTGTTAAGAAAAATAGGTATAGATGTGGACAAACCTCCATAAACCAGTGCTTCAATCCTTTGCATGGCAGCAATACGAACTGACCAGTCCTTTTCTGGAACAAGAGTAGCTGCAATCTTCTCAAACTCCCGAAGTAATTCTTTCTCTGAGTGGACTCTTACTGGTTCCACTGGTTTTTCAGTTATATCAGTGTCACCTGTAAAACATCAAATTACTGTAGAGAAACATGTTGTCTGTGTGGCAGGTGCCACTATCAGAATAACCAGAAAAACATTGACTTGTCAGAAAATGAAATTTTCTGTTAAGTCTAATAGACTACATGCTGTTTCAGGGAACATAGCTCAACTAAAGGCTTCTGGATAACACACTGAGCAAAAGTAAGAAGAAAATAAATAAAGAAACAAATATAGCAGTATTTGGCCTGGATAAAAAAGTGATGCATCTCAACACATGAAATGGACTTCAAATGTTGTACCATTCATGATTACTTTCAGAAAATGAATTCAAAGACATTTTGTGCATAGTATCACTGCATTTCGAAATTAAGAATATATCATATGTTTTCACAGTAATTATATGAATGAATTCTCGAACTTGCACGCCCTGGTCACTAAGGTCCACAAATTCTGAAACCATAGATTCACCCATGGATTTCGAGTCGCTCGACTAGTGGCGACTAGTCGACGAGTCGCAGTTCCAGGGCCGACTCAGCCTCTCGACTTGACTCCTGGGATGAGTCGAGCGACTCGCACGACTAGTCGCGGTTTTTTGGGTCGAACGACTCGAGGCAGCGCTGGATCTGGAGCACTCTCCCGCCGCCGTGCTGCTGATGCTGCTGCTGTGCTGCCTCGCTGCTGCGGCTGCGCCCTCGCTGCCGCGCTGCTGCTGCTGCTTCTGCGCCCCCGCCCCCGCCGCCGCCGCATCCCCCGCTGCAGCGCTGGCTGCCGCTGCTGCTGCTGCTGAAGCTGCAGCGGCAAGAGGAGCGGGCTGGGAGGAGGAGCGGTGGCAAGAGAGCTGCTGCGGGGGAGTTGAGAGATCCATCACTGGGAGGAGTGGTGGACTGGTGGCAAGAGAGTGGCAGCAGAATGTGTGGCGGCTGTGGTGAGGGAGGAGGGAGTGTGGATGGTGGATTAGGGCATGGGAGGAGTATATAGCTACTAGATGGGCTTTTGGGCCACAGGGAAGTGCATAACTAGTGGCCCATCTCTCAGTTGGCCCTGGTTACTGCTGCTGGTGGTGTGCTCCTCCCCTCCTCCCCTGGTTGCTGCTGCTGCTGTGCACTTGTGCTCCTCCCCTGACTGCCTGCTGCTTAACTTACGTCGACTCATCGCCATGTCGACTCGTCGACCGTGAGTCTAGACTAGTCACGACTAGTCTAGAGTCCCCCCCCCCCCAGCAACCCGTCGACTCATCGACTCGAAAACATTGGATTCACCACCTAAATTTGTTAACAGGGTACACAGGAAGTTCTCAGATCTGGTTTTGCTAGCTCTGGCCACTTATGTGGCATGTTAACAGGGCACAATGTGTCATCTAATCAGCAGGACCACTCAGCTGTGGTGTGTACGGATCTGGTCTGGGCACACGCACCGAGTAAGATCTTTGTCAGCCCCAAGCCTCCAATGGTGACTTTGATCTCGTCGTCTCATTCCCTGTGGTCAGTTCTTTCACGACTATCACTGAATCTTGACTCTGGTCAGGGGTGGCCCAAGAACTCAGGGCAGGGCTCCGTGCCCATGTGGGATGAGGAGCAGCAAGGAGAGTGATGAAGCTGACAGTGACGGGAAGAAAATGGGAGAAAAGGAACAGGAAGAAGATAGGGTGCCTGGCATGTGGGCACTCCTTACTGGATGACACCACGCAAGCACTGAAATCACGCAAGATCTCATTAGGATCTCTAGAGAGCCACTTTAACGTACTTAGGGCGAGTGAATAGGTGGTTCCAAACTTCCAATGTTTATTGACATATGTGGTCGGGACATGAATTGACTGGGTGCAATTCCCGTATACGTAACTCAAAAGCTGGACTTCAGTTTTAATGTGTTGACGAAGTACAGACTATAGAACTACAGCACACGATCAGCTACAGTACTGATTGTTCTGGTTTTGAAAGTGAATCCCCTTCATGTGTAAGTCCATCCTACTATCATGAGCTGGTTAGGAGCATTCGGGCATTCACAAATGTTCACCCATATAAAGATGGAAAAAGGACATCTCTTGGTGCCTAAACAGTACCTAGACTGACAAATTGCAGTTATAGATTGTCTTGGCTTGCAAATATAGTTGAATGCAAACACATATATTTGAATGATCATGTGTGAACTTCTGACAAAAATATAGAGCTTACCTCCAAATAATGTGCTTTCCCTCGGTGTGCTTTTTGTCCGTGGGCTGCCTCTTTTTGGGTTAACACTAACGGATCTAGATGCTGCAACCTTATGCTGTGTTGCAGTACCATCAGATGCGGGAACCTTTGGTTCAATTCTATTCAATCTTGAATTTATTTCTTTTAGCTGCAGATATCGGACAATACAAGAATAAGGATAATCCAGGTTTACTGCTTTGTGGACCTTTAAAAATGGACACGTAAAGTTCAATCATATAAAGTAGTACCAGATACTAGTCCAAAATACACAGATATACCAAGAGTGATACACTAGTATCAAGAGGACTTCTAGCAAGCAAAGGACAACTGCCAAAAACAACTAGATGGCCAAACACACTACCATGTATGTAGGCAGATTATGGCGCTGCAACTCTTCGTGGAACTGAGAACCCATGTTCTTGTACATTTCCTGTGATCGAAAAAAGTGATATTAGGATTGCCGTATAATTTTTACATAGCCTGGATAACGGGTACAGGCTGCAATTAGTTAGTATGGACAGTTGCTACTAGTTACACCAATAGTTTGAAAGCATGGGATAAACTACTTTTAAAACACACAAAAATAGATAAAACTGAGCGCAAGGGAGTAGTGAAAAGCAACTAGAAGCAAAGGGCATTGGGACTACATTGATTGTTTTGAGTATTTTTGTAGGAAAGGTTCAGCCTATCCAACTCGCAGAGTGGGATAGAACTATTGCGAAATTTGGTAAGACGAATGTTGAACATCCGAAAGCGCGAAATGGAAGGAATATAAGTGGACAAAAGATGAAAAGCATCAGCTGAAGCAGGTAAAAATGGTATGAAACCAGCTAACCTCAATACAAGACATAGCAGCTTCTCTGACACTTTGGTTCGAATCATTCATCAACTGCAAGACCTGTGAAGCCAGATAGTCTCAGCATATCTATCTATTGAATAAACATAAAGTCTGTGACATGCACAAAAATGTACGATAATAAATCGACTTGAATACTAGACTCACGGGTGAGAGTAAAACTCGTTGCATGAGAAGCTCCGTAGAAGCGAAAAGGCCAACTGCAGTTGCCACTGTAAGTACGAACTCTTCCCGAACCCTCCAACTCTTATGAGTCCATGCATAATTTCCGGCCCTTTCGAGAATGATTGTTGGTGAAGAAACCTAAGATATGGATAAAATCAGAAGGCTACCTAGTAATAAATCCAAAACATTGAGAACAAGGCAAGCATGTTTGGCTTCATACGTTGATATTCATTGGACAGAAGTCTACATGTAAAAGTAATGGTATCATAGTAGTAACAAACAACATTGACAAAAGAGAAAAGGCAACACATATTTATGCTGTAAATATCTGATCATTAAGAAAAAAATTATGTAATTGAGTAATTCACAACAACTAGGCATATTATAGATTTCATTTCAACACCTTAAAAGAGCAATCTTTACATGTGAACTAGCAGCATTTTTTAGGGTGAATGGTTCTTAAAACAGTCGAGCAAAAACCTAACTGCATATGAGAAGTTTATATCTTCGTTTGATACCCACCCGCATTTTGTCGTTTCTACAAACAAAACTTGACCCAAAACTAAGAAAGCTAATCCCTTGATTATTGGAGTTTGAAACGGCATTGTAGCTCAATAGCACACCATCACACGAAAACTAAAACAAATTCATCCTTATGGATAATTGGACCAAATTTAAAACTCCGGCTAAGTTCCAAAGCAACCACATTCCCCCGGAATATTAGTAGATTAAAGAAACAACAAGTGGGATCATCACGACCGAAAGGGCAGGCGACCCACCTCCATGAGCGTGACGAGGAGCTGGCGCGCGGCCTCGCGGACGGGCTGCTTGCCGTCGCCGAGGCGCTCGACGGCGGCGGGGACGAGCGCGTTGAGGTGGATCTTGAAGTGGTCCCCGGCGAGCACGGCGGCGGCGGAGAGCGCCTGCAGGCCCCCCTGCGCGACGCGGAAGTTGGCGTCCCGCGTCAGATCCACGCAGGTGTCCACCAGCGAGGTGACCTCGGCCGGGGAGAGGCCGCGGCGCGCCGCCGCGTCGAGCGCCTCGTGCAGGCGCTCCACCCCGGCCAGCCGCTCCTTGGTGTCCTTGGCGCGCGCCGCCTCCAGCGCCGCCTCCATTTCGGCGCGCGGGCCCCGAAGAGTCCGCCGTGTGGCAGTAGGGCTGCGTGGAG